CATAGGACTCTTTCTTCAGCCTGGTGACATCGAGTATTGTCGCCCTGACAGGCACTGACCACTTTACGGCCACAGCTCCGATCTGCCACCTCAACAAGGTAAGTGCGGAATATGGCCCACTCTGACTCAATGTCCCCCACCTCAAATGGGAAGTGAACAAAGCTTTGTTGGAGGTGGCAGTTGAAATTGTTTCTGACAGGGGATTCTGACAGACATTCCCAGCAAATCCCCACAAAACGTTTAGATCTGCCAGGTTGGACCGGCATTCTCCCCCACCATCAGAGCCAACACACCACCAGGTGGTGATTAGCTGACAGTCTTGAGTCATCACTGTGATTTCAAGCAAGTGCAAGTCAATTCATAAATGTTTGCTCAGTCACAACATGTGTTGTAGTGATAGTAAAATATTGTTTTTTTTTCACTGATCATACTACAAAAAATACATTATGTCGATAAAAATGTAATGAATATTTACTTCTCTACAAATCAAATGGAACACAGAAAATATCTACACTTAAATTAGGTAGAAGATCACGTTATTTATTATGAGTGTGATAGAGAAATCTATGAACAAAATTGTATCATGTTAAAAGTTTCGGTTAATTTGGGCATGTCTGGACGTACTCAGCGCAGAGGTGTCGGCCGTTTGGGCAGAGGGCCTTTTCTTGAGTAATCACGTCAAAGCAAGGGGGGCGAACAGATGGAAGAAGGCTAGATTCAATCACAGAGTGGGAATAAACAAATTGGGAACAAAGAGTTGTTGAATACCAAAAGACAGTTTGGGAACAGCTGTCGCGCCCAGGTGGACATTTGTCATCAGCAAAGTCTGTGACTTGTGTATTCGGGTAGATCAGATCACTACCGAGGGGCCGGACCGGGGGGCGCGGTATGCAAATCTCGGGGGCAGTGTCTTTCTTGTATTTTGCAATAAAAGTTCGAACCGGCGGAGAGGGAGCCGGGAGCGGGATCATCGGAGCAACTAAACCGTCGTTCGCTCTCAGAGATCCCCTCCCGCCAATATTGAAGACAATTTTCCCTGTGTGCCGAGTCATTTCTTTAACTTTGTCCGAGAAAATCTCTGACAGAGTGGCACACTGTTAATCTAGTGATCAATATTGTAATATGCTGAATGTGGGCGTAAATACTGTATGTCGAATAATCAGATTTACAACCTACATTGTTGTTATCTGTGCCAATCTATTACCCGATTCTAATTAGTGTGTGTAAATGGGTGAACGATTGGCATTAACGTTGTGCACTTTGTAGGTTGGCACTTTTTGAAGTTGAGTGAAATTGACATACTTTTGGAACTTCTCTCCCCCCTGTAAGTCCACTCTGTGCACCTTTGTTTCATATAGACACAGAGTCCACGTTCCACCCCTGTGCTTCTTTCCCAAATGGGAATCACGGTCGGTTCGAAACAGCTGCATTCCATCAATCTCGAAGTCTGAGTCGGGCATGTTGTCTTTTAGCCACATTTCCATCAGAGAAAGCACGGAACTATTCCTCATCTGGAACCATCAAACCTCAGGGGAAGTAAATCAGTTTTATTGTCCATTGGCTAACATTGGACAATAAAACATTGGCTCGGAAGAAAGATGGGATTGGTGACTTGCTACTCTTTAGCTGAGCTAGCCGTCCGACAGGTTTACCCAACTTTTGTTGCCACGAACAATGCATCATGTTGCTACTGGCTACGTGCGCTGTGCAACTCTTTGTTCGTAGGAGCTGCAGTCTGCTGAGAGTACTTGTTGTGCAAGTCTTCCCAAATTGGTATAGTTCGTTTGAGCTATACCTGACACGTACTATAGGTGTCACTAAAACTGGTTTTTAAGTCATTGTAAACGGCTTATTCCTGGCAGGCCGAGAAGCCGCTGCACTTTGGGGCGTCGCCACTTTGTCACTAGCTTTTGTCATGTTGTTATTTTGAATACTACTATGAGGAACATCTCCATCACGCTCTTTTGGCACCCAAGTTTGAGTCTTTGGTTTTAAATATCTGCCGATACCGAGTCCCAATCCAACACCTTGGCAATGCATTACGGAAAAAAAATTGAACTTATGTCATTTGGACGTGTCACAATTGCTAACCTATCTGTCACACTCTCAGCTCTCTCAACTCTTTGACTATGCCCTTTAGGGAGGAGACTTCTTTATATCAGGCATGGCAGACTTTTTTAGGAGCATCTTTCGGGTTACTTCTCTCTCCAAAAAAGCTGTGGAGACAAACCCACCGTGCAGCAGAGCTGTGTCACACTAACTGCATTGTTATAAAACAGGGGTGTCTAACTAATTTTTGTCGCGGGCCACATTAAAGTTACCATTTCCCTTGAAGGGCCATTATGGCTGCAAAACCATGTAAAGAATTCAAGAAGACTGGTTTATTCAGCTATAGTTTAAGTTACTGTCATGAGAGTTTTGGTAATAAGAAAACTTACAATAGCTCTCTTATATATTGCATATGAGAAATTGAAATTTTGGTCCAAATGTTAGCAAGCATCATAGAAGTCGACATGTATGGTTTGCTTTCAGGGGCCACATAACATGATGGGGCTGTCCAGATCTGGCCCCCGGGCCTTGAGTTTGACACATTTGCTATAAAACAAACAACAAGAAAGTAACATTGTAAAAAACATACTAAGCTACTACTGTTCTATTTGGCAAGATATTAGCACCTTTGCGTTATTTTGCAGCTTTGTGACCTTTGAATACTGAACCAGATGAAAATTGCGTGATCGACCACGATCATATCGGGACACCTCAAATTACCACCGCTGATTATAATTCGACTCTTTGCGTCTGTGATAGTGATGTTGGGAACATATGGCGTGGCTGGCATTGAAGAGGATGGCGGTGCTGCGTTTTATTTTTTCAGCTGTAGGTTTCGTTAACGTATTTGCTCTTAAATATCAATACAATTTTCTTTACCTGATCAAACTCATAATCTGGTGCGTTCTGAATACATGTAATGGGGGATTCGCTCAAACTATTAATTGGCAGGAAGCTCCCTGCATGTTCTTTTAATTACAAAGAAAAAAATAATATATATATATATACACACACACACACACACACACACACAAAACCCCTTCCAAAAGTATTGGAATAGTGAGGCCAAATCCTTTATTTTTACTATTGACTGAAAGCGTCTGGGTTTGACGTCAAAACATGAGTGACACAAGAGAACATTTCAGCTTTTGTTTCCAGGTATACACATCTGGATCTGAGCAATCGGGAAGCTAAGAGAAGATGGAAAATGACTCAGAGCCGTTGCACAAACAACGTCCAAAGCCAGGACAGCCATTTGGAATATGCTGAAGAAGGAAGACACCACTGGTGTGCTAAGTAGTAGATGTAGAACAGGTAGATTAAGTGAAGCAACAGCAGTTGATGACAGAAACATTGTGAGAGCTGTAAAGAAGGCTCCAAAACAACTGTTAGTGACATCAGCAACAAGCCTCGGAGGGCAAGAAGACTTCATGAAGAGAAAAAAAAAGCACAGAGGCAATATTGAAGCAAGCAAAGCATTCATTAGCCATAAGAAAAAGGTAGGCAAACATGAAATCTAAATAAAACATAGAGATAGTCTTCCAACATCAGAGTGTCATGGACTTACTTTTGAAACAAAGACGACCTTTTACCAAAGTGATGGAAAAGCTTCAGCTTCAAGAAGAAAAAACAGATCTTTGGATTCCAAATACAAATGTTTTCCAAAGCCAATGTTTTTGTTTTAACAGGTTGAAATCTGATTTGTTAAAACATGATTGGCCAGCACAACTGATTCTGCACAGGTGGGGGACTCGAGTTACATGACCTGCTTTGCAAACACTCATGAAAGAATCAACTTTGACTTGAGACTTGAAGTTATTCTGTTTAGATTTTTAAAAAGTATACACAATGTGCCTTTTGTCTTTGACAGAAAAGTAAACATTTTTGTGTCATCCGTGCCACCAATCTGGTAATGATGGCCATCAGTATGACCCAGCCACAGACAGGAGCTGAGACTGACTCATCGAGCCAGTGTCACCATAGACAAATACATTTGGTTTCAAGGATTATTATTTTGATGGCACCAGGAAAAAGACAATAGCAACATGCAAGGTTTGAAACTCGAAGATAAGAGAAACAACGTCTACGACGGTTACTTTCATCTGTCATATGCAGATAAGCGAGCTTTATGAACTGTGAAGCTAAGCTAACGAGGTTAGCTGGAGAGTTTAGCTCACAAATAGCCGGTCAGATATTAACTAAACTTGATGTTGGATATACACTTAAATTCAGAAGACAATAAATTAGGCACCATGAAGAAGTGGAATCTTTAAACCATATCATTAAAACCTGCAGGCTACCGTGAAACAGTGTGTGTATTTACACTTTTTAATAAATCCAATACAAGCAATTTCATCACAATACCAGGTTGATAATGGAACGCTTAGGAGTTGGTGCAAGTTGAGAATTGATCAGGTTGCCTAGCAACACACTGGGGGTGGGGGCTGGCTCATTAAAGACCAAAAAAATTCGACAACTCACGGCCCATTCTTATGATGAATTTATTGTTTGTGAACAGCGCTTCAACTGCAAATTGTGTCAGCATGTAGAAAACACTCCTCACAAGTGTCACCGGTGTCTATCATTTCTTTTCATCAATTAATACGATATAATGTTGGCATTTTATGTGACGGTTTAAGTGGGTGTAAATTAATAACCTTTCATGAAACAAATATTGCAATTTAAGTCAGTGCTTCCAATAGTGTTTCGGCCAGCAAAGAAAGTCTTGCTTACACTGACTTTTTTTTCAGCCAGAAAAGGTCATTCAAATAGGGAAATTATGGTCTGAGACTCATAACAAGAAATGAAATGATCAATGTATGTGTTTCTTTCCAATATATAAAGGAGGGATCCTACATATTTTCTCTAAAACACAGACATACACTACATACACGCATGCACACACTGCCCCCCAAAACACACACACACACACACACACACACACACACACACACACACACACACACACACACACACACACACACACGAACATTCCCCAGTTGTGAAGTCATCCACCAGAGCTTTGTTCAGCGTCTGCTGTACTGTATGTTCTTTTATGTGCTCCCGCTCTTTTTTTTTTCCACGATCCCCTTCAGTCTGTGATGAGGTTGTGCAATTTTGCAATTGAAACTGTGATTTTGAAGATAACTGTAGAACAGTGCAATTATTAATTTGTGATTTAATCCCCAGTGCTGTTGTACCTTAATGCTCATCGTCAACTTTTTGTTTTACGCGTTGCTGTGAATGGATGGAGGGAGGGATGTTTTGACAGAAGGAGGAAAATAATACAATTCATGATTACAGCTGTCTTTCTCAAAGAGGATCCTCCCACTCCCATGCGCAGTTCAGAATTTTTTTCATGCTCCTCCACACCCTTTGTCCTCTTTGCGAGGGAGGCAAGCTTGTCCCGTGTGACGCAACGCTGGTAAATGCCTCCGCTGCGCGTGTCAAACATCTATTTTGCAAGTGTTTATTAAACACATCAAAGTCTCCCTTTCTCCGTTGCCCTCTGGAGCATCTTCAAGGACTTCATGTGGCATACTTTCCACTCCAGTTGTGATGTCATGTACCGTTCCAGGCATTTGTGCTTCCGAAGGTCGTGATCGCGCAACATACGGTAGCGTTTTGCAACTCAGTCTGGGCCTGTGTATGAAAGAGTTGTCAAACCATATGACAAAAAGGAGCTGAATCCTACAACGCATATGGACTGCGTGTCCATACTTCACATGCCTCCCCTTCTTCCCACACAGCTCCAGGGTCACATTGGAAGCACCATTTTAGGAGCTCCTCCCACAGAAGTATTTAACAACAGCCTTCTGCCTTGCAAATGAACTTTGGTGACTTAAGGGAATCATGAAAAAAACTGCGTAAATTTCCTCTTGATCATCCTCAAGAATGTCTGACTTCATTTTGTCTAGACCATGCCTCTTTATTACATTTTTCTTAAAATCAGCATCTTGATTCCCATTCTTTCAGTTTGACTTTGGTGCACTTTGCTTCTGTGTTGCGCAATCCTCGAAGGAAATGCAGTACTGTACACACCAACAGACGTGTTTTCCCTGTGGGTTATCACAATGCACCATGAAATAAAATGGGTTGTCCAAATGAGGCTACAAATGCATGATACGTCAAGAGCATCTTTTTATGTAGGCCCCCTTGACTGTTTTACAGTTCCTCTCAGTATTTTATCTCGTATCTGTGGATATCAGTGTAAAGAAACTGTTCTACGACAAACTTCTTGGCATTCTTTAAATGGTTGTGGTACTATCTGATAAGGAGGAATTTGGCATCACTTCTTCTTTTTCAAATGCTGAATGAGCACTTCTCTCCGGAGTAACTCCACTTAGCCTCGGTGTCCTACATGCAATGTCTCCATTTGCTTGGCTCGTTCTGTTTTTACAAGCTTTTACAGCTTGCAGAGGCTTTTGACAGATTGCCCAACATCGGTTCCACATCAACAATTGCATAAACCAAACAATGTGCTCCCTCTTTCAGTCTTCCAGTTGTCTGCTTCTCTCATGAGCCTTTCTTTGAAAAAACAAAAAAAAAACCAAAAACAAAAACAATAAGAAAAAAAAAAGGCAGTGGGTACAATTATCTTTTTTTCATATGAATTTATCTTATATGAATTGATATTTTGGGAAATATAAACTCCTACTTTGCATTTTGTTTACACATTTACTTGTAATGTATTGATAGCAGAATTACTGCCACACCAACAGGAGCAATAATTCAAGCAGTGGGCCAGATGCATTTAAATCCAAATTCCCCTGTATGGTATGATGCAGCCTAAAACTTATGCGAGCTTCCCGCCCCTTGTCACTGCCACATTGTATTTACCAGTGCCAAACGCAGTGGAGTATGAAAGGAAACGTCTTTTGATCGGCAGACCTACAAAATAAAAGCAGATCGCGTTATTACGGTTAAGGCACGATAGATATGTCTATTAGGTATGCCATTCTGTTTGAATACACACTCCACATCTTTGTTGAAAAAGATAATCTAATTGCTTTTTTAAATTGACATTGTCAGATGTTCTTTTTTTCATGAATTCAAAAACATTTGTAGCATGCAGATTTTTCTCCCCCTAATTTGCAATATTAAAGTTAACTCAGGCGTAATAGACATACCTTTTTGTATTATTTTGTGTATTTTACCGTGACATCATTGATAATAACATTCATTATAATCGTGTTATTTTCCTTGCTAATCCTTTGTTTTCTGGCAGATGATAGTAGCAAAGTAGCGCAAATAGTATTTATTGGGTTGGGCAGAATAAAAAGTTGTCATGTTTTAGGTTTGTATACACAGAAGGTGTATGTGATGTAGCGGGACAAGGCGGTTTTACTGCGAAAATACGGAGCAGAAGTCGTATTTCAAACGACGTGAACTTGTTGCGGGTATCTGCCTCCCCCAGCTCGTTCAGCATCTTGTCCTCGAGAGAGTCCAGTCAGCGCGTAGTATGGATCCGTTACGCGTGATGCACGTTGCCGTCCGGGATTCCGACACAACTATCTGACGGTTGTAGAAACAGCAACACGAGTCTATTCGGGGCCACACAGTAGAGTGGGGGAAAACGTGCAAAAATGCTCTGTGTCGTTGCAGAAGGAAGATAAGCAGGGACTTTTTTTACGCTCATGTCTGAAGCGCGCACACTTATTTGGACTTAACACTTGGAAGCAAGATCCCGTCTGTTCCACATCCATTTCGGACGGTTCATTTGTGGATATTTGTCTGGGACCATGGGAGACGCCGTGTTCCTCGACAGGCAAAATTCCTACCTCGTAAGTCTTGCGATGAATTCGAATTGCTCCTACACGTTTGTGTTGACCCAGCGTCGTGTGCTCCCTGTCACGGCGCGTGCGTGATGAAAAACACCACATTTTAATTTCGCATTATTGTGCTTCTTTTTCATTCGATATGACGGTATCGTGCATTTCAATTATATGCCGCTCAATTTATATAGTGAAACCGAATCTTGATTAGACTTTCTAAATGATTACCTTCCACGGAGAAATGACACAAACTCTTCGTGGTGGAAACTTGCATATGTGGTGTTTACACCACTTGCACAGACCACACTTGTTTACTGGTTTCAAGCGATGTCAATTTGCACTAACTGCACAGCAGCGCGGCCAAGAGCCACAAGTTGTTGGTGGTGTTCGACAAGATGAGGGCAAAACAGACACATAGGGGTCAAGGCCAATGACATCATTTGAAACGTGCAGAGAAGCGACAGGTTGCTTGCGCAGCAGGTTGGTCTCATAACAAGGTGGGAAGGCACTTGCAGCTACGCTCACAGGATGGAAATATGTTATTTTACCTTTAAGTCAAAAGCTCCCACTTATTTAAACTTGACTGTTTGAGCTTGGGAAATAAACACATCTATTTTAGAAAGTTAGACAAGGTACTAACAGCTATCCAGGGGTGAGTTTATACATAACAATAAATAAATAAATAATGTCCAATGTGGGTAGCTTTCCGATAACGTTGTGCCCCATTTTGATCTAAAAATCCTTGTTATGAAATAATGCTTTTGTTATGTTCAACTTGGATTCATATACTGACATTTGCCCAAGTTATTCATATACTGTATTTATTATTAGCATTAGTGATGATTTAGCAGATGGACCAAAACTGACTCTTTTAGGTCCCGACTCCACTTTGCCAAAGTGATGCAAGGGAGGTGACCAACACGAGTCGTAGTATCAAACAGTATTCCAAGCATCACTGCCCGGTACATACTTTGGTTTAAGGTCATGGTGCGGTTCACATTCCATTGAAGAAAGAAATGTAAAGTATAAAAGCTATCTTTTATTTTTTTTTAAATTGCTGTAACATGTTGTACTGTAACAGGTCAACTGGTTAGCACGTCCGTCTAACAGTGCAGAGGTGCAGGGTTCCGGCCTTCCTGTGTGGAGTTTGCATGTTTTCTCCGTGCCTGCGTGGGTATTCTCCGGGTACTTTCTCATAGCTTCCAAAAACATATATGGTTTGTTGTTCGAACGCTCTAAATTGTCCCTCGGTGTGATTGCGAGCTCGAATGGTCGTTTGTCTATGTGTGCCCTGTGATTGGCTGGCGACCAGTTCAGGGTGTCCCCTGCCTACTGCCCAAAGACAGCTGGGATAGGCTCCAGCACGCCCACGACCCTTGTGAGGATAAGCGGATTCCAAAATGGATAGATGTATGGAAATATCCTGATGACATGATGTTGGTGGTGCATTTGCAACACCTTCAGCTCACGAAATGCCACCTGTACAGACAAACCTTTATGTTGTTGTACATTTTATTATAATTCCGGTTTGGGTGAAAACGCATGGTAATTAAACACATGGAGTTCTGCAAGTTTGATGACCAATCTGAACAACATCTGCTGTAACTGTGCAGAAGCAAAGACAGTACGCGTCAGCTTGACTGTCAGCCTCCGACGTTGAGCGTTCTCCTGAATCAATTTCTGAACTCATCTGAACTTCATGCAAAAATGCGATCAGATGCAGCAGGCCTGGAGAAAAGTGTTTTCGTAAATGGAAGGTTACAACGCCTTCACAGTATGGCAATAAATAAACTCTGACAGGGGTTGATAAATATTTTGAATTGTAGTTTACCGGAGCGGAGTGGCCTTGAAGCCAGAGAATGTGCGTGGGATGATGCGTGGCAGCACCTCATGATTACCCGTCTGCAAGTGTTAAATTAATCCCTGGCTATGATGCAGCAGCCTGCACATTGGTTTACCATGACAGTTTACCTTGTTTTGTGTAGGAATTGCACTGTATTATTATTATTATGATGATTATTATTCCATCCATCCATCCATCCATGTTCTGATCCGCTGATCCTCACAAGGGTCGCGGGGGGTGCAGAAGCCCATCCCAGCCATCACAATACAGAAACATGTACTTGTTTAGATTGTAGTTGCCTGCAGGTAACTAGCTTGATCAAATGCATTCCTAAATATGATTTAAAATACCAAATGGCTCTCTAAAATGCCTTTTTCTTTCTTCTCAGTACATGTTGATGACCAACCTAGAGTACATATCAAACATCCATCCATCCATTTTCTCATCTGCTTATCCTCACAAGGGTCGTGGGCTTGCTGGAGGCTATCACAGCTGTCTTCGGGCAGTAGGTGGGGCACACCCTGAACCGGTTGCCAGCCAATTGAAGAGCACACAGAGACGAACAACCATCCGCGCTCACACTCACACCAAGGGACAATTTGGAGTGTTCGATTAGCCTGCCATGGATGTTTTTGGAATGTGGGAGGAAACCGGAGTACCCGGAGAAAACCCATACAGGCACGGGGAGAACATGGATGGATGGATCTCTCTCTTTAATTGAACATCAAGTTCCACCACATCCGCCCCACAGTGCAGAGGTGGAGGGTTCGATTCCGGCTCCGGGCTTCCTGTGTGGAGTTTGCATGTTCTCCCCGTGCCCGCATGGGTTTTCTTCTGGGACTCCAATTTCCTCCCACATTTCAAAAACAACAGGTTAATGGATCACTCCAAATTGTCTCTATGTGTGAGTGTGAGCGTGGGTGGTTGTTCGTCTATGTGTGCCCTGCGATTGGCTGGCAACCAGTTCAGGGTGTATCCTGCTTGCTGCCCGGAGATAGCTCAGATTGGCTCCAGCACAACCACAACTCTCGTGAGGATAAGCAGATTAGAAAATGGATGGATGGATGTTTGATATGTACTCTAGGTTGGTCATCAACATGTATTGAGAAGAAAAAAGTCACTTTAGAGAGCCATGTGATATTTTAAATCATATTTAGGAATGCATTTGACCAAGCTAGTTACCTGCAGACAACTGCAATTTCAACAAGCACATGTTTCTGTATTTTGAGCATTAATTATTTAAAATTTCATGGCAGGACTAAAATGAATGAATGATCAACTGCAGACGCTGACACGGATAACATATCATATCTAAAGGCCCGTCCACACAAATTAAAATGAAAACACGAGCCAGAATTCAGTTCCATGCATCCATCCATTGTCTTAGTGTTGCTTATCCTCTCTCATGTCATGCGTGATTTGGAGCCAACTATAGCTGACTTCATGTGAGAGGCAGAATACACTCTGGACTCATTCGCAATCAACGTCAGATCTGTAAGGCAG